TCAAAAGAGAAAAATAACATTGGGGAAAGTTAATGGTCAAAGAAAACTTTCATTCTAGGTTGAGTCTGAGTTCTTGGATCTTGTAATCTAGGGCTGAGGTTACAGGTTTCAGTGTACACCATGAAAAGATAGGGTTATGACCAAAAAGCAAACAATTCTATTATAATTATAAACATAGAAATAGTTGAGTAGCTTGTTTAGCTGAACAAGACTTCAAAAATAAGACATAAGATAGATGATTTGTTTCTTGGTAAATAGAAATTGTCATCAGGTAAGCATAGGAAAAACTTGCTACTATAGACTTGGCTTGCTTAATCTTTGTTAATCAATGACAAAGGAATTATTGCTTTGGGGTGATAAAGAACTTACGGAGAGAAAGCTACATGGAAAAGGTTTACTTAGGTATGAGTTTCAAAAGAGGAATAAATAACCCAAAATCTTGTAATTTCCTTTTGTGTGATGATTTTAATCTGTGTTTCAAGAATAGACTCTTGTGGTGATTCTTTTTGGAGAATATGTACCTTGTGGCTCTGAGGTAATCTTTTTTTTTTGTTGTTTACATAGAGAATTTTTTCTTAGGTGGTATAAAAAGGCTAAGAGAAAAAATAAAGTTGTTGGAGCTTGTTGAAGCTTACCAAATCTCGTGTGTTTGTCTCTCGGTGTGTTTTTGTCTTTCTGTCTCTCTGTCTCTCTGTTTCTGTCTCTCTCTCTCTCTCTCTCACTCTGTGTGTATCTGTCTCTGTGTGTGTGCGTGTTTTCCCTGTTTTACACCAGCCCCAGAAAGTTTTTCGCTGGCCTCAGAGAATTAAGGTTTATTTCCTCAGAGAAAAGTCTACTGGGTGATTAATCACTGAATCCACAAACACCCCTCCTATTTTTCCTGACATGTTGAAGTTGCTCTTAGGCAATTAAGTTAAATAAAATAAAACAATATAAATTAAAAAGAGTAATTAAGAAGGGATGATTATGTTCTAAGTGCAATTAAAGCTAAATAAGAAAAAAGCTTCCGGAGACTCATAGAATTGGTTAGAGCTGATGCTGCAAAATTATCTTCATGTAGTAAAAACTGACCTCATGTCATCCCCAAATTTCTAACAGACAGGAATGCCCAACAAGCTGTAATCCTCCTCCTCCCTCCCTTCCTGCCTCTCTCTCTGTCTTTCTGTCTCACTCTCAGCAGTGCAACTGAAATAAACATGTTTAAAATTAAAAAACTGAAATAACATTTTTGATTTGTGGAAAGTAAGTAAAAATTATATTTCAACCTCCATAAGCATTGACTACAGCCATCCTCACTTGTTTGCACAGCACCTGTGACTGCTCTCTCCTGCAATAATAGAGTTCAAAGGAGCAGAAACATTTTAATATCCAAAAAAATCTGATATATTGTGCATCAAGAAAACTGCAGGAAAAACTTATTTTTCTCATCACAGCTTACTATCTCTGCCGATATCATTGGCTTCGCTCCAGCAGAACAAGTTGCTTATTTGTATTATCATAGACCAGTTGAACAGTGATGCTTATTTCTATAACAGAAATTCAATAAAGGAAATTGGATTAGTATTTCACTAAACCCCAGAGAGCACAAAATATTATTTAAAATATTACCTTGATTTCAAGCTTGAACCTTCAAGGTATACTCCTTGTTGAACAGAAATGAAATTAGTTTGTCCCTTAGATTAGTTGAATCTTTTCATTGAATTATTTTTATCTATTAGTATTTAGGTGAATATCAGCTGTTTCTTGGGAAGGTTTCATGAATGAATATCTTAAGTTATTAATTTGAGTTTTTGCTCTGCTTTCTATTCTCTGATTGGACCCATATTCTTCCAGGCCTGTTTACATTTATTATAATTGGATTTTTTTGAGTGAAGACATTAAAAACCAGCTTTGTTCAGGGCTAGCTGTTATTTATAAACTGGCACAATAATAACATAAGCAGAAATAAGGATGAGAATATGAAAACATACACAGAAATATTAACTCAGAAAACACCTTGAAATTCCACATACATTTCCAAACAAATAATTAGAAACAACTAGTAAAATTTGCAAGGGTATTTAACATAAGAACAACAAAATGAATAAATCAATTTTTCTATAAACCATATAAAAAGAAATTCAGAGTCATTTGAAAAATTATAACAGAGCATTAATTGTTCCATAAAATCTAAGGAAATATTTTCAAGCTACATCATTGAGAAGAAAATATTACACAGAAAAATAAACAGCAAAAATAAGTGAATGACATACATTTATGGAAGACTTGAAGAAATCAGGATATAAGCTCCTTCCAATTAACTGGTAGTTTTCCAACAATGCTAAAAATTCCAGAAGACTCTTTGGGGACACTGACAAAAGTTGGAAACAAACATGGAAACGTAAATACCCAAGCTTTGCTGAACTATTTGGAAGGCAGAGCAAATGTGGAGGTGTCACTACTATGTCCCTGCCCTCTCTAGAGCTGCCTTCTTAATCATGCAGCAGCACAGGCCACCGTAGCACAGTGACTCAGAGCACTGGAGCCTCACTGTGAACCTGGGAGCATGGAGAGCACAGGGTTGCAATAAACAAGCTTACCTTGGGGATGAGGTAGTTCCTAAACTTCACATCACAGGTCACTTCATGGGGCAAGCTGTTGGGGATGAGATCAATGAATCTCTGGACCTCATGAATCATGGCATCCATGTAGGGCATGTGGCCCCTGTCCTGCATGCAGGGGCTGCGGTTTCTGCCGACCACATGATCAATTTCTTCCTGGACTTTAGCTGGTGAGTTGCAGAGAGAAGAGTGGGAAGAAGAGAAGTGACATGTTTGTCACAACAATGCAGGCCTGGCCAGGGCATAATGAAGGTGACCCAAAACGTCATTTATTAATAGAAAATTTAAAGAGATCACTGGTCAGTACACACACACACACCCACACACACACACACACATTGTGATTGTATTCCTACCACTCTCCTACTAGTTACTAGTGTATGCAAGTGCATGCCTGTGTGTGTGTGTGTGTGTGTGTGTGTGTGTTATTTATATGTGTATTTGCACACATTTACTCAGGCTCTGGATGCTGGGTCACAGTCTCAGGTGTTGCTCTTCTGGAGTCATTTCCCCTTGTTTTGTCCCAGGGTCTGGGAGCCTAGAGTGAGTTGATTGGGCCAGACCCTCTGTCCACTGCACATTTCAGTTCTATTGTTTTCTTCTCTCCAGTGCTGAGATTAGAAGCATGTGCCACCACGTCAGGCATTGTTGCATGTGTTCTGGGAACTGTGGCATGTTTGTTACATTAATACAAGGTCACCCAGGGCATGACGGTTGTGCCTCAGAAGAATTATAAACATAATTTCATGACTAGGAGTAAATTTAGACATACAGAACTGCTGTGATAAAGACTTAAGACATTATCCTAGAAAATAGTTATTATTACTCATTAGCATGTATTTATTATTTAGAGCCATGATAGCAAATAAGAAGTAATTAAGTATTTAAAAAACAAACTTTAAATAATTATCAGCTATTATAGTTAGTAATGAAAGACATCTGAAATTAGGTATCTGTCAAAATTTAGTGTTCGTTTTAAAATTATAGGTGTGTGCATTTGCATTTTAAAATGTTACTCCAGCTATATTTTCATTGAGTGACTAGATTCACAGTGGAATACCACTCAGCAATTAAAAACATGGAAATCATGAAATTTGCAGGCAAATGGATGGAACTAGAAAAGGCCAGAAGCAGAAAGACACACATGGCATATACTCACTTATAAGTGGATATTAGCCATAGAATGTAGGATAAACATAATAAAATATACAGACCTAAAGAAGCTAAACAAGGAGGACCTTAGGGAAGATGTTTAATCCTCATTCAGAAGGGCAAACAGGATAGACATTGAAAGTAAGGGGAGGTGGGGACAGGACAGAAGCCTTCTACAGAGGACCTCTTAAAGATTCTACCCAGCAGGATATCAAAGCACATGCTGAGATTCACAGCCAAACTTTGGGCAGAGTGCAGGTAATCTTATGGAAGAAAGGGGAGATAGAAATACATGGAGGGGACAGGAGCTCCACAAGTAAGGCAATGGAGTCAAAACATCTGGGCTCAGGGGTGCCTGCAAAGACATGGAGAAGATCTGGACCCCCTGCTCAGATGCAGTCCATGGGTAGCTCAGTCTCCATAGGAGTTTCCCAGCAAGCAGAGCAGGGGCAGTAAGTGCCATGAACTTTCTCTTTGTTCACATTCCTCTGGTGAGGTGGCCTTACTAGGCCACAGAGAAGGAGGATCCAGACAGTTCTGATGAGACCTGATAGGCTAGGGTCCAATAGTGGAGGAGGACCTCCCCTATCAGTGGACTAGGGGAGGGACATAGGAGAGAAGAGAGAGGGAGTGTGGATTTGGGAAGAGATGAGGGAGGAGACTACAGCCAGGATGCAAAATGTATAAATTGTAATAAATATTAAAAAAATATTTGTATGGTGCGTAATTCTCAATTTGGGCAATAAATCAATATGCATCCACAGTCCAATGTATGCTGATAGTGCCTACTACTGCACCTGCCAGCGAATGCAGATGCTGGACCAGCCATGCTCTCTTTATTTTTCTCAGTCATCCAGTAGAACAGAACGTTAAATACTGAGGTGCTGAATAGCGACATGCAGGCCACTTGCAGCATCTTCTCATCATCTTATATGCGTGTTTCATCACCTATGTCCTACCTACCTGTGACATGTGGGTGCTTCATCAGCAGGAGGAGAGCATATCTCAGCGTTGTGCTTGTTGTCTCTGTCCCAGCAGCAAACAAATCAAACACCGTTGCTGACAGGTGTTCAGTTGTATAGTTCAACAGTTGATCATGGTTTTCCTAAGAAGGTTTGATATAATTTATATCTGTCCATGTATCTATCTATGTATCTATGTATCTATGCATCTATGTATCTATGTATGTATGTATATATGTATGTATGTATGTATGTTATCTATGTATCTATGTATCTATCTATCTATCTATCTATCTATCTATCTATCTATCAATCATCTACCTACATATCCCATCTATCTATATCTTACTGGAACAGCTAACTACTAGAAATTTACAATATCGGACAACTTTATTTTATGGACAACTTCAAATCTGTAAATGCACAGTAGTAGTGGAAACTTAAATAACATTTTAGAGACAGCAGAGGTGGGGTTCCTAGTTCCTCAGCAGCAGCAGCCAGCCAGCTGAACCCTCCTGCCAAGAGTCCCAGATCTGCAGTACAATTCTTCCCAGAGCCCAAGTCTGCAAGCGGCAGTACTGACTCCACAGGGCCTCCCAGCCAGTGACTGTATGGGCTGCCCAATCCCTCAGTGGTGCTGCAGCTGCTGAACTTGGGAGGCCAGCTGTAGCTGCAGAGCTGGAGTGTCCAGGTGCCTGCTGGGAAGTCCAGCAGACCTGCCAAACCACCCAGGTACACCAGGTGCCGGGCCACCTAGGTCTGGGGACCACTGTTGTGGTTCTCCTGGACTTCCCAGCAGGCACCTGGACACTCCAGCTCTGCAGCTACAGCTGGCCTCCCAAGTTCAGCAGCTGCAGCACCACTGAGGTGACTGAGTGCATTCTGCCACATTTGACTCGGCAGGTCCAAACCGGCCAGTAGAGAACAGGAGGAACCCTGGGCTTCGCGATTTGTCCTACTAGAGAGTGAGTGCGCCCTCAAGTGCCTACAGAGCTTCAGGTCCAGGGTGCTTCTAAGCTAGCAGCCAGACATCAGATCCCTCCCACCCACACATCCACTGTCGGAAACAGAGGGTTTCTTGGGAAATTGAAACTCTGATCTGTAGATCTACCAGTGGAGTTTAGGCAAATAATTCCTGGAGCTCAGTTAGTGACCTGTAGGCCTATAGGCCACTGACATACCGAGGGAATTTGCAGCCATGATCATCACCAGCGCTTGCAATACCCTCAGTGCCTGTGAACCCTTCAGTGCCAGCAAGGCGCCCCTCCCTCATACGGAAAGCTTCTACATTCTCTAGCACCCTGTCCCTCAAGGCACACTTCCATGCACACACACACACTTGTCCACATTTGTCTCTCTGTGCCGGTGGACTTTCCTCCTACAGGCACAGCTGAAACACCAACACACACACTGAAACCACTGGACCTCTCTCAACTTCTCGAATAATTATTCGAGACACCAGACACCAGAGAAAGAAGATGCCAGTTTGAACTGCAGAATCCAAGAACAAACAGTGAAGGTTACAGATAAGCAAATGGCCAGAGGTCGGTGAAAGAACACAGCCAACAAAAATCAGGAAATCATGGCTTTACCGCAACCCCCAAAACCCATGGATACTTCAATTCATCAGAAACACAGGAAAATGACTTTAAAGATATGTTTACCCAGTTATTAGAGGCAGATAAAGAGGAAACAAACAAATCTCTCAAAGGAATTGCCACACAGATGGAAGCAAATAAAGAAGAAAAGAACAAAGCTCTCAAAGATATACAGGCAAATATAGCCAAACAGAGACACAAGTAGAGGCATAATTAGTGGCATATAAAGAAGAAATAAACAAAATGTAGAGGCCATCATACAGAGACAGGAAGCCACATTTAAACAGATGAAAGAAATGGTGCAAGGCATAAAAATAGAATTAGAATCAATTAAGAAAACACAGAGAAAACTCTGGAGCTGAAGAACTTAGAGAAAAGATCAGGAACCACAAAAGTAAGCATCACCAACAGAATACAAGAGATGGAAGAGAGAATCTCTGGTGCTGAAGATAGGCTTGCAGAAATTGATACTTCTCTCAAAGAAAAAGTAAAATCAGAAAAGTCCCAAACACAAAATATCCGAGAAATCAAAGACACCATGAAAAGGCAAAAATCTAAGAATAATAGTAATTGATGAAAAAGAAGATTCCAGGCTCCAAGGTACAGAAAATATCTTCAAGAAATTCATAGAAGAAAATTTTCCCAACTTAAAGAAAGAGATGTCCACAAACATACAAGAGGCCTACAGAACACCAAATAGATTACACCAGAAAAGAAACTTTTCACATCACATCATTCTCAAAACTCTAAATCTACAAAACAAAAAAGATATTATCCCAATAATTTTATTTTAGGTAGTTAACAAACGTATCCTAAGGTTTGTATTGAAATGGGTGCAACGTAGAATAGCCACATTAATAAGAACAAAATTGGAGGGAGGGCTATGATAAGTTCACCTCAGGTAAATATTTTCATTCAATACTTTTTAAAAATTAATCAATTTATTTTTTAACTTTTATTAATTATACTTTATTCACTTTGTATCCCCCCATAAACCCCTACCTTCTCCCTTCCTAATCCCATCTTCCCTCCCCCTTCTTCACTCATGCCCCTTCCCAAGTCCACTGATAGGGGAGGTCCCCCTCTCCTTCCTTCTGATCTTAGTCTATCAGATCTCATCAGGAGTGGATGCATTGTCATCTTTCGAACTTGTAGATCAGTTTGGAGAGCTTAACCATACTGAGTATTTTGTGCCTGAATATAAGAAGTGTATGCCATCAGTTATATAGATAACTTTAAAACTTTCTTAGTGCATTTTATATTGTTCATTTTGAAGCCCTTCTTGTTGAATTTATTCCTAAGTATTTTATATATTTTGATGTTCTTGTAATCCTTCTTTTACATCATATATGCTTTTACTTTTTTTTTCTTGTCTTACTATAGAGGCTAGAACCTCAGTAATATATTAAATAAAAACTTAAGCTACGTCTGCGAAAAAAAAAAAGATATTAAAAGCAACAAGGGAAAAAGACCAACTAACATATAAAGGTAGGCTTATCAGAATCACACCATACTTTTCATCAGAAACTATGAAAGCCAGAAAGGCCTGGGCAGATGTCATGCAGACTATAAGGGACCACAGATACCAACCCAGACTGCTATAACCTGCAAAGCTTTCAATTAATATAGATGGAGAAAACAAAATATTCAATGACAAAACTAAATTTAAGAAATTTCTACACAGCAAACCAGCCCTACAGAAGATACTACAAGGAAAACTCTAATCCAACGAAAACAACTACACCCAAGAAAAGATAGGATACAGATAATTTTTCTACAAAAATTAAATGAAAACAAGCAATGACTCACAGTAAGATCATTCATTGGTCACTGTTATCTATCAACATCAACGGAATCAACTCTCCAATAAAAAGACACAGATTAACAGAATGGGTGCGGAAAGAGGATCCAACATTCTGCTGCATCCAAGAAACACACCTCTGCAACAAAAATAAACACTACCTCAGTGTAAAGGTTGGAAAAATGTTTACCAGGCAAATGGACCCAGAAAACAAGCTGGGGTAGCTATCCCAATATCTAATAAAATAGACTTTCAGCCAAAATTAATAAAAAAATATGTGGAGGGATATTACATTCTTATCAAAGGAAAAATCCACCAAGAGGACATCACAATTCTGAACATCTATGCCCCAAATACAAGAGTGTGTACATTCGTAAATGAAACATTATTAAAGCTGAAATCATACATCGATCCCAACACTTTAATAGTGGAGAATTCAACACCCCACTCTCAACAAAGGGACAGATCAACTAGACAGAAACAAAGTAGGGAAATAAAGGCACTTATAGAGGCCCTAAGTCAAATGGACCTAATAGACATCTACAGATCTTTTCACCCAAACTCAAAAGAGTATACCTTCTTTTCAGCACCTCATGGAACGTTCTCCAAAATAGACCATATAGTTGGTCACAAAGCAAGCGTCAACAGATACGAGAAGATTGAAATAATCCCCTGTATTCTATCTGACCACCATGGACTAAAGCTGGACCTCAACAACAATGGAAGTAACAAAAAGCCTACACACAAATGGAAACTGAACAACTTGCTACTCAATGACAGCTGGGTTAAGGAAGAAATAAAGAAAGAAATTACGTCAAGATCAGGTAGAAAGATTGAATAGCCATATATGCTCCAAGGAAATTGAAGCACTCATCAACAGTCTCCCTTTCAAAAAAAAAAAAAAAAAAAAAAGAGCCCTGGTTTCAGCACAGAAGTTGTAGATACCTCCATAAGACCTACTCAAGAATAAGCTAGTCAACCTTCCTGCCTGGATGGGAAAGTGGTGCATAAACTTTAACCTTAAATTGAGGAGCAGGTGTTGACTTCTAAAGAAAAAGAGTTAGTGTTCTTAAAGAGTGTAGCTCCTGGTGGGTCCAGCACTTTCCAGTGGAGGGACCCATTCCAAGAATAAATGACAGCATGAACCAAAATTGATGTGACATTAAATAAAAATGTAACATATGAAAATAATCTTGGCAGAGATGGTAAGGTAGAGATGAATCAGGAATGCATAAAGGGGCAGATGAGTTGGAAGTATATATGATCAAAACATTTGTTAAATTCTCAAAAACCCCCACAAAATCAGAAGAGTTTAAAATTAAGTAAAAATGTAGAGCTTATTGTATAAACGTGTTAAATTATTTAAAACTCAGATTTGTAAATGTGTATGTCTCAAATAAGTGACCTCCAACAATCATCAAGTAGACTCCCCCCCCAAAATGGACATTTTTACAATAAAAGTATAAAATTCACCATAATGAATATTCAAGATATTGTCTTTCTAGACAGAGCATCTAGAAAGAGATCAGTTTATTGGAAAATAAATGCCTTTTACAACACTAGAAATCTAAACCTAAAAAACATGTACAGAACAATTAATTTGAGACAGAAATACTCATTCTTCAGGAGAGACAAATGTTAGTTTTGTGTAATCTCAACAAAACCTTAACTGCATCAAGGTTATATGAAGATGAATAAAAATCCTATCTAAAGCAAAAGAGGAAAAAATCCCCAAAGCTAATTAATTATATCATCACAATTTCAAGCTAAAAATTA